AAGAAATAAAACTGTCTCTATTTGTAGATGACACGATGATCTGTGTAGACAATTCCAAAAAGTCTACAAAAACAAAAACAAAAACCTCTAGATCTAGTGAATTCACCAAGGGCACAGGATACAAGATCAGGGTACAAAACTCAGTATTCCTATATAGTAGCAACAGACATGTGAAAACCAAAATTAAAAATATAATACCACTTACAATTGCTCAAATAAAGTTAAATACTTAGGTGTAAATCTATTAAACAGTGTATAGGACTCATATGCTAAAAATGATAAAATCCTGATGAAATAAATTAAAGAACTAAATATATGGGCATTCCCACCCGAATGTTTATGGCAGCACAATTCACTACTGCAAGGATGTGGAAACAACCCAAGTGCCTGTCAATTCATGAGCGGATTATTAAAATTTGGTATATGTATACAATAGAATATTACTCAATTATAAGAAACGACAGTGATCTAGCACCTCTTATATTTTCCTGGATTGAACTTGAGCCCATTATCCAAAGTGAGGTATCATGAGATCAGAAGAATGGGCTCCACTTGTACTCGCCATCAAATTGGCACTAACTGATCAACACTATGGTGCTCACACGGTAGTAATATTCTCCAGGGATTAGGGGTTTGGGGGGTAGTAAACTCACAACTAATGGACTCAGTGAGCATTGTAGAGGGGAAGCGCATGCCTCTAATCCTCGCTTGGGTGAGGCAAAGATATAAAATGTAACCAAAATGTTTGTACCCTCATAATATCCTGAAATAAAAAAAAAAATATATGAGCATTCCATGTTCATAGATTGGAAGACTCAGCATAGTAAAGATGTCAATTCTCCCTAAATTTATATAAAGGTTTAACATAATTGCTATCAAAATCCCAACAAGATTTTTGGTACATATAGACAAAAATATTGTAAAATATATATGGAAAGGCAGAGGAACTAAAATAGCTAAACAGTTCTTAAAAAGAAGACAATTGCAAGACATTATATAGTTACAGTAATCAAGACTATGTAGTACTGGCGGAAGAACAGACACATAGATTGATGGAACAGAATAGAGAACCCAGTAATAGCCCCACAGAAGTATGGACAACTGATTTTTGACAAAGGCGTATAATCAGTTCAGTGGAGAGAGGATAGTCTTTTCAACAAATGGTACTGGAACAATTGGATATTCATAAACAAAAGAAAAAAAAAACCTTGACCTAAACATCACATCTTATATAAAAATTAACTTAAAGTAGATCGTTTACATAGATTTAAATGTAAAACATAAAAATACAAAACTTTTAGAAGATAACACATAAAATCTTCAGAATCTTGGTGAAGAGTTTTGAGACATGACACCAAAAGCATGATCCATTTTAAAACGGATAAATTGGACTTCATCAAAATTAAAAACTTTTATTCTGTGAAAGACCTAATTAAGAGGATGAAAAGACAAGCTACAGACTGGCAGAACACATTTGTGAACCATATGCATCTCACAAAGGGCTCAGATCTAGAATACATAAAGAACTTCCAGAATTTAACAGTTAAAAAAAATAGAATTCAATTAGAAAATGGGCAAAAGACAAGAAGAGACATTTCACCAAAGAGGATATATTTAATACAACTGGAAAATATGCACATGAAAAGGCATTTAACATCATTAGCCATTAGAGAAATGCAATTTAAAACCACAATGAGATATTACTATACACCTATCAAGACAGCTGAAATAAAAAATAGGGACAATACCAACTGGTGGCCAGGATGCAGACAAACTCCATCACTCCACGTTGCTAGTGGGAGTATAAAATAGTATAGTCACTTTGGGAAATAGTTTGGCAGTTTCTTAAAAACTAAATATACGATTACCACATAACCCAGCAATTTCACCTGTGGGCATTTATCCCACAGAAATAAAAACTATGTTCTCACAAAAACCTGTACACAATTACTCATAGAAGCTTTACTCGTAACAGCCAAAAACTGGAAACAACCATTACATCCTTCAAGGGGTGAATGACTAAACAAACTGTAGTACGTCCACGCCATGGACTACCATTCAGCAATAAAAAGAATCAAACTATTGATACACACAACTGGGATGGATTCCGAGAGCATTATGCTGAGTAAGAAAAGCTGGTATCTAAAGGTCACATACTATATAACTCCACTTATATAAAATTCTCAAAACGACAAAATTATAGAGACTGAGAACAGATTAGTGGTTGCCAAGGATTAGGGGAGGGTGGGGGAGCGGTGTGAGGGGGTATAAAGCAGAAGTATGAGGGTGATCTTTGAGGTGATGGAACAGTTGTATACCTTGATTTTGGTAGTGGTTACACAAATCTACTCATATGACAAAACATTAAAACACCCATATACACACATAATAATAACATCAAATTCCTGCTTTTGATATTGTACTGTAATTATGTAAGATATAACCATTTGGGGAAACTGGATGAAGGTACTCAGGACCTTTCTATACTATTTTTGCAACTTTTGATGAATCTATAATTATTTCAAAATAAAAAGTCAGAAAAAAGTGTGACGTACTGATTGTGGGCATCAGAATTACCTGAGAAAATTGTTAAAATATGTAAGTTTCTGAACCCCATTCTACATTCACTGGTCTAGAATTATTTTTGGTCTTTTAAAATTTTTAATTGTAGTGAAATACACGTAACACAAAATTTGCAACTTTATCCATTTTTAAGTGTATAGTTCAGTAGTGTTAGGCACTCACATTGTTGTCAACCAATCTCCAGAACTCTTTTATTCTTGCAAAACTAAAATATATACCCATTAAACAGAACTCCCCACTCTCCTAGCGCCTGGCTTCTTCCCACACCTGGAAATCTTCTTCTTAGACTCATCTCTACCAGAAACTTGGCAGGTTCCACGTTTATAAGGAGGCTGCTCCTAACAATGATAATCTGACCTCATGACAGGTGCTAACCACTGCCCAGGCTGTGTGCCGGTCACTGTGCACCCCCTCTCTCATTTCATTTTCACAATACTCTCAAAGTTGACAGTTATTATGTCTATTCCATGAATGAAGCAACAGACTCAGAGAGGTTAAGCTATTCGCTCAATACACACAGCTCCAGTTCCAATTCAGGCCTGCTGGTTTCCCTAAATCAGCCATATCACAAGCCACCATTCTGTCCAGGTTCTTTATGACCTTGGCTTGAAGTTTAACCACAGACGTCTTTTCCTTGTGGTTTCAGAAGCAAAGACTCAGAAGGACAACTTCCTGGTAACAACTCTCCCAAAAGATCACAATTCTGGAGCTCTACCTTGGACTTTAATAAAGTCCTCTACCAAAGACTTTAAGATTTCTTCCGAAAATATGGTTTGCAGTTAATGTTAGAGCTGGTGGCACAACACAAAAAATGGAAAGGTATTTTCCTTTCCTGTGTTTGCTAGTTTGTCTGGGCCAGCCAAAGCCCCACTAGGACAGGAAGAAGGAAAAGATGAGTGAACAAATGACGATTTACCGACAGCAAAAACACACTGTCAAATAGGTATGCGAAGAGTTTCCTCTGAAAGATCTTGCACCCTGGACTACACACAGTAATTTCAAAAGGTTCCTGGGGCACCTGAGTTGGATAACGTCATCTGAATGAGAAAATTTCAAAACTATTTTTCAAGCAATTTTGAAAGAGAAAACCAAGCATACAGTCCTTAAAAACAAAAGTTACAGATTACATATCCACTAAGGTAGCTCATTAAACTTATTTTAAAACCCTTAAAAATTTCAGAATAGTGCAGGAGATGGTTTAGAGGGTAATTTAGTGGGTTTCTTTCCCGAAGAGAACATCTGAGAACATTTTCTCTAATAATAAAGGGCAAAGTACATGCAGTTGTGTAAACCGCAAAGGCTCCATCAGTGTGTGAATGAAAAAAGAGATCGCTGGTTTGAAAAACATAACTTTTTGTTATCTTCCAGTGAAGACATTTCCCCTGCGTTCGCCAGAGGACAGCAGTGTGGTCGCAAAGGGTGGAAAGACGGAATTCTTGTGTACGGGTAGAAAATATTTCGTGTGGGAGACATTATCTCAAATGAGTGTAAAAAGAGCATATGTACATCATATGGGCTTTCAAACTCGAAGGGGAGGCCTCTTATCATCACTTTTATTATTTTTTTTTCCCATCGGAGCAATCTCAAAAGTGCTGGGCTCTGAGGCTCTGCAGAGCTTGACGAAGAGCCCAGAGCGGGTAGGGGACTCGCTGCTCCCCAGCCAAACCAGGTGCGGGACCCAGGGGGGCGAGGGTGGAGGGAGGTTGGGAGGAGGACATGAATGAAAGGCGATTCCAAAGTTTTGGAGAACCTTAGCAAAAATCAAAAGATACGGGAACAGCCCCGACGTGGGTATATTTGTTGTAAGAGCTGCAGCTAGCGAGCGCCTGGAAAGAGAGGGAGCTGAGCGCAGGGACGCGCACGAGGAGGAAGACAGCAGAAACCGGAAGGGTGCGTTAGCCTGGCGCTTCTCCAACCTTAACGCCTGGAATCCCCTTAAGATCTCGTTAAAACGCAGATTCTGATCCCCTTGGTCGGGAGTGGAGTCTGAGAGTCTGCGTTCCTAACAAGCTCCCAGGTATTACAGCTGCTGCTAGTCCAAGGACCCACCTTTGAGTAGCCAGGGGTTTGTTCAAAGGGGTGAAGAAATTCCTGGCTGGAGAAGAAGGGGGCTTTCTGAAGAAAACAATAAATTTCTGGGGTAGAAGCAACCTCAAGAGGGGCAACGATAAAAACAAACTGGATGGGCAGGAACAGGACCGAAAACGGGCCAGAGGAAGGACTGAGCAGGGTCTCAGGACGAAAGGGTAAGGAGGCGCTTGCCCCTCCAGCTCTGGGAGAAAACGTCAGGGATGGGCTAGGGGATCTTTGGGAAGGTCGGGAGACGCACGCCGGGACACGGCAGGCAGCTGGACACGCAGCCTGCGCCCGGACGCAGGGGCAGGGACAGAGGAGACCCAGGGCTGGCCAGCCCTTACCTGCGCTCGCCCTGGTCGGTGTAGACGTTGAGGAAGAGCCCCTCCCTAGTGTCCTGATACACCAGGCCCGAGAAGCTGAGCTGAAGCTCATAGCGGCTGCCAGGCTGCAGAGCCTCCCCGAGTTCCAGCACCAGGTACTGCATATCCAGCGCGAACCACACGTCGTCCACGGGCACGCGGCCCACGGTGGCGTCCCTGCTGCCTGGAGACAGGGGACCCCGCACCTCGGCGCGCTCGCAGTCCAGGAAGAGGCTGTGCAGCAGCAATCGCGCGGTGGCCGCGGTGCAGCGCACCGTGATGTTCACACGGCCAGTGAAGTGCAATGACGACTCGGGGAGCTCGTCGGGCCTCAGCCGGGGCCATAGCTCCAGCTCGTAGTGCAGCGGCACAAGCCAGGACGGCAGGCGCAGTTGGTCCCAGGGCCCCGGGGGTCGCCAGTCGCCCGAGGTGGTCGTCACCGACGGCTCGCGTGCGGAGCCGGGTTTCGGGGTCGCCGGCGGCTCCTGACTACCGGGAGTGGAGGATGCGGCGTCCGGGACCCGGAGGCCACGCAGCTCCGACGGCGGGACGCCCACGCAGTAGCCGTACAGGGCGGCGAGCGCGGCGAGCGCCAGCAGGAGGGTGGCTGCCAGCCCGGCCAGCAGCAGGGCCACTGCGCGGCTCACATAGAAGCCCGAGCTGGAAGTGGGTCCCATGGAGCGGGCTGGGGCTGCGGGGCTGGGGGCGGCGAGGTGGAAGCTCAGAGACAGAGGCGGCGGCTCTAATCCCTGGCCGGGGTGCTCAATGATGGGACCCTCGCCCTTCTTATTCTGTACTGTCCCTCCTCCTCCTCGAGGAGCCTGGGAGGACAGAGAGGCAGGAGAGAGCGGTTGGGACCATGGCTTCCCCCTCCCAGCTAATCAGATCCAGGTCCCTGCCTACCCACGCCCGCCCCCGCTAGAGCCGGGGGAAGAGGCGGACCCGGCGCACCGAGGCGTGCTCCCCTCGGGGTCTGAAGGGAAAGACCGCGCAGAAGAGGCCTCTAGGGGCGGCGCGGGGAGGGGCCATGGGACCAACAAGGATATTCGAATTGCTGGGATTTGCCGCGGTGTGCCCCGGTACGGTTTCAGGTGTAGTAGGGAAAGGGACAGGTACCGAGCGCCCTCATCTCCTTGACCGCAGCAGGTCGACCTACCAGCAACATGCCTACCTTCTCGGCCGCCACTAGGGGCTTTGTGTGCTAGGGGGTGGGGTGAGAGCTTGAGGACCGGGACATTTGGGAACGCGCCGTGAAATGACCCTGCGAGGGGCGACCGTACAGTCAGAACAAACTTCTGGAGCCGGATCTGTGGCCCTAAATTCGCCTCCTGAATAAGCCCGGGACGCACGCAGCCCAGGCAGCGAGTGAGAGGATGGAAGCAAGGTTGGGAGTACCCGGCCTCTCCAGAGTTTAGGGAGCCGGGCTGGAGGAAGGGGCGACAAAGTACTAGGGGAGTGTGGCGTCTGCCCGCGCGCGGCCTCCCCGGCGAAGAGGCTGGGGAAGCCCGCTTTACCGTAGGACGGAGCCCAAGGGGAAGCCTCCACTTAGCTCTGCAACTGCTCGGGGTCGGGCTTTCCGGTCCTGGATCTGGGTCTGTTCTCGGCACCCCCGCCAGGGTAAAGGGGATGCCTACTTTCAGAACCTGTTCATTTCCAGCAAAGAAAAAAAAAAGTCCAGCGACCAGTCTTTCCACTCAGAAACCTCGAGGCTGGAACTGGTTTCCCAGGCGGTGCCCCCCAGTCAGTGAGGTCTTTGGCATGTCGGGCATCTGTTTGCTATTTAGCCAGTGCGCCCGGGTGAGTTCTTGGCGGGGCACGGGGTCCTAGTCTGCAGGCACACACGCGAGGGAATCTGCAACCCGACTGCAAACATCAGGAGGCGCTGGGGAAGAGGGAGGGGAAGGTAAAGATCCTGTTTCAGGCTGAAGATTTATTTTAGCGTATCCCATCTTTAGAGCCCAGTTGTTTGCGAAAATAATTTTTCTGTGGCAGCTATAAAACGGTCTTTGCTTTCCTGTTTGGACTGTATCTCTCTTCCAATAAGGAAACCCTTTCACCTGAGTTCAGAGACAGGGTAGATAGACCACAGTGATTCTCCTGGGAAATGTGCGCTTCCTTGCTCCTGGAAGTGAAATTAATCACATTAACAACAACAAACCCTCTGGAACAAGAACAGGGCAGAGGAAGATTTAACATGAAGCTCATGCAGGTGGTTATGCTGTAGTCTGTGGACCAGTCTCCTAATTGCAGGTTGGATTTGCTTTCTTCAGAAATGGAACAATACTATTTAATTACTTAAAAATAATTAAGACCACGTGGATTACTCTCAGAAGATGCTGGGTAGAGCTGAGGGAGAAGTAGCTCCTTCTATTTCTATATACCTACCACAGGTTGTGCTGCCAGAATTGTGAGCTGCTGGGCTAACAGAGGCCTCAGGGTTCAGGTCATTGTCAGATTGACATTGTGACAGAGGCGGAGCTAACCAACTCATTACTGGCCTTACCACCCCTGGGTGACTTCTTGAAGGCTTTTGAAGGATTCCAGACTCCCAAGGAAAGTTAAAAAAGAAGTCAGTAACAGGATTACTTCAAACACATTAGAGGTGTTCTTCCACTCAATTACATATAAGAAACTTTACTGAAAAGTAAAAATGTGGACTCGAGTATTTAACTCCATTTCTCTAATATTATTAAAGGAATAAAGATTGGCTCCTACACAAAAAGTTTCAAAGTAATAAAATCACACCAAATGATTCAGCAATTTAAATATCTTATTAAAAAGGAAAACATTTCTGATAAATTATTAATGTCACTCAAAAGAAGTTGCAAAATAGCATACTGGCTGAGTCAGGGTTATGATAACAATAAAAAAGAAACTGGAAAAGTATTACATGAAATATTTGACATCTCAATGAAAAAGTAGTTCTGAAATATATATCAGTTTCCAGGAAAATATTCACTAGAAAATTTTAAATGAGCTGCTCAGAAAATCTTTTTATTCACATAAACTAAAGCAGTGATTCTCAACTGGACGTGATTTTTGTGCCCACCCTCCTATTTGAGAATGTCTGGAGACGTTTTTGGTTGTCACAACTGGCGGGAAGGAGTGCTACGGTTATCTAGTGGATAAAGGCCAGTTATACTGCTAAATATCTGACAACACACAGGACAGTCCCCTACAACAAAGAAGTATCCTGCCCAAAATGTCTTTAGCACCGCTGTTCAGAATTCCTGAGCTAAAGCAATAGTACAAGCCTTTTATATGCTACCCAGGTGAAACTTCAGCTTTGTATCTTGTGCTGCTGTTTTCTTTTGTTGTTCATGTTTATGCTTTGCCGTGTCTATTATTTTTCCATCTTTTATTTCTTGGTACTTATTATGAAACCCTATAATATTTCATTATATCTCTTGGACCACATGACTTAATTTTTCTTTTCTTTTTCTCACTTATTTTGAAATTTTAGTTTTTTCAGTGGATAATATATTCACAAGCTTTAAAAATCAAAACTATGAAAATCTATACGTTGAGATATCTTGCTTCTACCACTTCCATAGTTAATAATTTTTAATAGTTTTTTTGTGCATCCTTTCATTGTTTCATCATGCAAATTAAGCACATACAAGTGTATACCTTTGTATTTCTCCTCTTTCTTACAAAAAAAAGTATACTATATTGCAGCTCTGCAACTGCATTTTCATTTAATAATATATCCTGGATATCTTTCCATATCAGTCCACAGATATATATTCATTGTTTCATCATGCAAATTAAGCACATACAAGTGTATACCTTTGTATTTCTCCTCTTTCTTACAAAAAAAAGTATACTATATTGCAGTTCTGCAACTGCATTTTCATTTAATAATATATCCTGGATATCTTTCCATATCAGTCCACAGATATATATTCCACATACTTTTCTACAGCTGCATAATATTTTTAAATTTGTTAATTTTTACATTGATGGACACTGAGGGTGATTACAAATCTTGGCTCTTGTGAATAGTGCTGCAATAAACATGGGAGTGCAGGTATCTTTGATATACTGAATTCTCTTCTTCTGGATATATCTAGTAGTGGGATTGCAGGGCCATATGACAGTTCTATTTTTAGTTTTTTGAGGAACCTCCATACCATTCTCCATAGTAGTTGCACTAATTTACATTCCAGCCAGTCATGTACGAGGGTTCCCCTTTCTCCACATCTTTGCCAGCATTTGTTATTACCTTTTTCATAAAAACCATTTTAACTAGGGTGAGATGATGTCTCAGTGTAGTTTTGATTTGCATTTCTGTGATGACTAACGATATTGAGCATTTTTTTGTACACCTATTAGTTATCTGTATGTCTTCTTTTGAGAAATGTGTATTCAGATCCTTTGCCCATTTTTTAATCAGATTGATTTTTTTAGAGCTCCTTATATATTTTAGTTATTAATCCCTTGTCAGATGGGTAGTTTGCAAATATTTTCTCTCATTCTGTTGTCTTTTCACTTTGTCGATTGTTTCCTTTGCTGTGCAAAGCTTTTTAGCTTGATGTGATCTCATTTGTCCAATTCTGCTTTGGTTGCCTGTGCTTTGGGATATAGCTCAAGAAGTTCTTGCCCAGGCCAATGTCCTGAAGCATTTCCCCAAAGTTTTCTTTTAGTAGTTTCATAGTTTCAGGTATTAGACTTCAGACTTTTATCCATTTTGATTTTATTTTTGTATAGGGTGAGAGATAAGGTCTGGTTTCATTCTTCCGCATATGGTTATCCAGTTTTCCAAGCACCATTTATTGAACAGAATGTCCTTTCCCCACTGGATGTTCTTGGCAACTTTGTTGAAGATAAGTTCACGATAGCTGTGTGGATTTATTTCTGGGTTCTCTATTTTGTTCCATTGGTCTATGTGTCTGTTTTTATACCAGTACCATACTGATTTGGTTACTACCGTTCTGTAGTATAATTTGAACTCAGGTAATGTGATTCCTTCAGTTTTGTTCTTTTTGCTCAGGATGGCTTTGGTTCTTTTGGTTCTTTTGTGGTTCTGTATAAATTTTAGGATTTTTTTCTATTTCTATGAAGAATATAATGGGTATTTTGATGGGGAGTGCAATCAATCTGTAGATTGCTTTGGGTGGTATGGACATTTTTAACAATATTGATTCTTGCAATCCATGAACATCGAATATCTTTCCTTTTTTTGTGTCCACTTCAATTCCTTTCATCAGTGTTTTACAGTTTTCATTATAGAGATCTTTCACTTCACTTCTTTGGTTAAGTTTATTTCCAGGTATTTTATTTTATTTGTAGCTATTATAAATGGGATTACTTTCCTGGTTTCTTTTTCAGGTTGTTTACTATTGGCATGTAGAAATGCTACTGATTTTTAAGTTGACTTTGTATCCTGGAACTTTACTGAATTTATCAGTTCTGATAGTTTTTTTTTTTTTTTGAGGACTCTTTAGTTTTCTCCAGATATAAGATCATATTGTCTACAAACAAGGATAATTTGACTTCTTCCTTTTCAATTTGACTGCCCTTTATTTCTTTCTCTTGTCTGATCACTCTAGCTAGAACTTCCAGTACTCTGTTGAATAACAGTGGTGAAAGTGGGCATCCTTGTCTTGTTCCAGATCCTAGAGGAAAGGCTTTCGATTTTTCCCCATTCCATATGATGCTAATTGTTAGTCTGTCA